TATGTTGGGAACCATGTATCCCAGAGACTAGTTTATTTTGTATCTTTGTCTTCTAGTTTAATATTACTCTTCATTCCACCAAAAAAAAAAAAAAATTCAAAATCAAACAACCCCTTGGCTGGTAAATATCATAAGATTCAAGCACAAAACAAATAGTAAAGATGGAACATACAAGACATGGTACTGTCTCTTTTGGTTCTGAACTTAGTAGAGAGCAAGTAATTACTGGTCTTTTGCTCTTTTGCGTGCCAAAAAGCGTTCTCTAGCTGCAGCAACTGCATCCTCACTTCTTTTATGATGGTCACGCTTTGGTTCATCAGATGATGGTTGTTTAGCAGAAGCGTTTTCTTGCTCTGGAATCTCTGCAACAGGCTTTTCAGAAACTGATTTCAAATCTGGAGCCTCTATTCTTCTTTTTGGACTTATTTCATCATCATGTTTCTCACTCAAACTGGGGGAGTCCCTAAGAGAGCTTGATTCTGGCATTGACTGCATTCTCTCCGATGTATCCCTCTCTTCCTCTTCTTTCTTCTCCACTTTACTTAATTCTGTTAGCTTTTCTTGCTTCCTCACTGCAGCCTCTTTTGCACCAAATGCAACATTTTTGCCCAGATTGAAGTAAAAATCACTCAAGTCACTCTTCTTGGTAACCTTTGAAGCAGGTAAAAGAACATGATGTTAGTAACAGCCTGGGAAACAGAGTTCTTTCTACCATGCCAAACATGAATGTTTCCATCTATTTCCTCAAGATTTTTTTAAAACTTTTTATAAGGATGACAAAAAACTGTTCCAAACACTGGGATCTTCTACAGGATTATAATGGAGGGTTTTTTTTTTTTTTGGGTTGGGGGGTGTTGTTCTTAATACAGAGAACTGAAATGTCTTATTTGGGGAGAAGCAGGGGAAAGGCAACAAGTTTGGTTACCTTACACAACACAGATAAGCGCCCAACCCCATTGCAATGACAGAAAACAAAACCCAGTTAGAAATTGTTTTTCATTCAATGAGATCAAAGGCCTTGGTTCATTAGAGATGGAGAATTTTGAGATATCATCCAAAAGAACTTTCTTAAGTTCATCTCAACCAGCACCATAGATATTTGACCATAAGTGAAGTGGTAAGACACAATAGCCATGTTAATAGAAAAAATCATTAGTTGGTCATAGACAAAACTCCAAACATGGGCACTTACATCTTCTTTCTCCTCTCGAAGTTGACGCAAGCGCTCTTCCTCCATCCACTTTGCCTGCTCTGCAAGTTTCTTCTTGTAGGCACCGGTGACAAATTTGTCCTTGTCAGCGTAAAGGTGATCCTCTTTGTTTCTCTCTTTTGCAAGTTTTCTCTCATATACAATCTCCTGCTCAAACTTCCGCTTCTCTGCCTTTTTAAGTAAATTTTGAATATACTTTGGCTGCAACAAAAAGCCAGAATCCTAATCAATTTCAACGACAAATATAACCCCCTATCATGTCACATTTTAACTACCCTTTGTTCTAGCAGAAATAGAATCTCTAGAGCAGTAGCTCCATTTAGACAACCAGTTAATCAGTTCATTTTTACAAGAAACACCATGTGCCATGTAACATAGTTTGCAGTAATAGCGTTTTGAATAAAACCATAAAGACAAATCTCGATTTCCCTGTGTTCATTACAGCAGTTCGTTCTAAAGAATCTAAACTGAAATTTTTATTACATAAAACCAGAATGCTGAACTAAATTGATTAAAACAGCTGTTATATTCAAACCTTCTAATGATTAAAAAATTTGAACAAAGTAGTCAGGCAGATGAACATAAAAAATATGAGATTCTTGCCCATAAGACAAAGTGTTTGGCAGTCAGCTAAAAACTAAGCAGAGAGCAACAAAACCCCACAACCTTTTACCAGCGTAGCTGCAATTCATAATTCATGCAGTTTGAACTTTGAAGCAGAAAAGGATAAAAGCAGCAGTACCTTTCTCTCTTCACGGTCCTGTATAACAGGACGAACAGTCTCCTCTTTCATCTGATCATACACCCCATCATAATCAAACACCGAGGGATCCTCCTCCAGCGCTTTCTTATGTTGCTCCTCAATCTTCAAAACAACAAAAGGAAAACATTTTGACACGAAAATCTAGATAATTTTACATGTAATGACTAGACAAAAAAAAAAAAAAAAAAAAAAAAAAAAGGGGGAATCGATTTGGAAATCTTACATCCTTGAGAGACTTGTTCTTGGCGGCATGGCGCAAAATCTCCCTCTCGACATCATTCTCATCGTCATCATCCTCACGGAAGCCGCGTGGAGGAGCAAGAGGAGGCCTTGCCGCTGGCTTTTTCTGTTGTGCCGGCGGAACCCTAAGCTGTAACCCGTACTTCTTCATGCTCTGTCCTTCCTCTGTGCCGAAAATTAATCTGAATTTGGAGAAGAAAAGAGAGAAGTTAAACCGGAATTTGATTTGAGTGCGTGTCGTATAGAATCGGCACAAAGTTCGCAACTTTATGCACTGGATGGAGCAAAGATTGGAACTTTCAAAGAGGGGATGGAATGAAGCATCGAAGCTCAACTAAAACGGCATCGTTTTTAAGTTTGTGATAGCGATAGCCTCTTAATCGGGTACCCAAGGGCCCTGTTTGTCTCGTTTAAAGCTGATTTCCCTGGCCTCAAAAGATAGGTGAAGCACGGGCTCTCTTGGTTTGTTCCCAATCCCTGCTCCTGGTAAGTATTCCTTCACCCAAATTTTCTTTCCCAACTTCGTTATTATTTCAAGGTTTTTGCTTTTCCTCTATTTATTAGGTTCTGTGTTGTTGGGTCGCTGAGTTGAAGATGGGGTTGGAAGGAATCATTCAGATAATTTAATGCTTCTTTGATTTTAGCCATGAAAATTGATTCTTTAGATTGAGTGGGAAATTATATTGGATATGGAACTGATGCTATGAGTCAGGGTTCTGTATGGCTTCATTGTTTTCCAAAAGTCTGGAATGTCCTTTTGAGACTCTCAAGCTTTAGTTGTAGTATTATTGATTTGAAACTTAATTGTTGGTTGCTGTTTTTCCATCGCCCCTCGGCAATGCACAGTGCATTCATATGGTTTAATATTAATATACCATGTTCCTTTTAGGTGTTGCTAGTTTTACAGCTTATCCTTTAGAAGAAGGAAATTTCACACTGGAAGGGCGTTGCAAACCCATTTTCCAAGTGAAGAAGTTTTATTGTGGGAACTTCAGATTTCATGTGACCCGAAACACTAATATGTCTCCTAGCGTATAGTTTATTGTACATGACATTTGAGATTCTCATCAATATGGAGCCATACAATTTTGAGGGTGCAGATGAATTGTTCTATTTTCTACTTGAATTTTTTGGAAGTGTCAAGTTAGCTATAATCTCAAAATGCTAAAGGATGAATAACCTTGGTTTCTTCAATTTAAATTAGTAATCTGACGGCCTACAGTTTTAATCAAGGGTCACCTCGGTATTTTAGATTCCTAGCTACCTTCAAATGTTTCTTCTGTATTCTTATTTTAAAATATGGGATTGCCAGGGTTTTGGCTTTGTCTAGTTAATTCCTCCACTCCACCCACTGTAACATTTTTCTGTTTCCAACCCAAGTTTCAGATGTAACTTAAAAGGTTCTTGTTATCATACTATTATTTCTACCAGGATATTGATATTCCTTTTACAGGTCCAACACTAAATGACAATCTGGAAGCAGATGAAACCATTTCTTAAGATTATCAATCAGATAGGAGGGAAATAATTTGCATATTTTCTTTACTAACAAATTCATTCATGGCATTTGCTTCTGTCTAAAGCTGGCTAGATAACTTTGGAATGGGAAACAAGCCTGTGAAGGAAGCAGAGCAAGAACAAGAAGGGATTTACTTGAAGATTGTGCCACCTTTGGAAATGAAGCAGGAACCAGAGAAGATTCTTTTGGAGTTTAAGCAAGAAGCAGAGCAAAAAGTGAAGCAAAAAGTGAAGCAAGAACAAGAGGAGATTCTACTGAAGATTGTGCCCCCTCTAGACCAAGCATATGTACGGTGGCTCGTTAGGGATCTTAAGAGGGTTCATGGCTTCACTCCAACAAAGACATGTGCAGTGACACCACCAGATCATTACATTGAGTACATGCGCTTGAATGGGTGGTTGGATGTGGACTTGGACGATCCAGATCTGGCTCATCTGTTCAAATAACGGGATCATGAGGTAAGTTTGTCTGAATCATGTTTAAATGCCTTGTAGAAACTACATTTGATTGATGATCTTAACATTGAATTTATTCAATGATGTAGTTTGAAACTTTATGTTGATGGTTGAATCTTTCTTGCAAACTAGATGTTATATAATATTGAAGACAATGAGATGAGGTCCATAGTATCCATTTGACTTTCTGTCTGTCATGTTTCTTGCAACAACTCTTGTGGCTTTTGTTCTTGTGCTAGTTTAGTTTTGTTGACAGTTGGTTGACAATTTCTGGAGATTATAATATCAAAGACAATTAAATCAGGTTTATTATGGAAAATGAACCATCCAGATCCACAAATTTAGCATTTTAGATCTACTTGAATCTTAAGTCTAAGAACATGTATTCATTCATATGAAATGCAATATTTGACTCATGATACTCAAATACAAAGTCTGAGACAATAATGCTATATTATTAACTTGATTAACAACTGATAAATTATGTTTTACTTATGGGCATAGTTATGGTTATGGCCACCAAAATTGTAAAATATTATCTTTAAAAATATTAAATTTGTTTAATTTGATTAATAAAAATAATTATTATAAAATATTAATTTTTTAAATTTAATTAATAAAAATAGTTAATAACTATAATTATTAACTAATAATTGATAGAAAAACTAATAATTTATAAGTTAATAAATTAAAATTAGTCAAAAAATTGATATTTTCATACACTATTTTAGAAAAAAAATTTTGAAATTTTGATACTTTAACAATGTTGATGGTAGCAATTGTAGCTTTTTATTTTTTATTTTAAATTGCACAATGAGATACAATTTTTTTTTCATCCATTAAATTATCTCATTTACATAATATCATGCCATTCAAATTTAAGAATTTTTACTTCTCACTCATAAAAAATTATCTCTTAATTACTAAAATCAATTTACATCATTTCCCAAATGTTAATACACCAAAAAGAAAGCAATATTTTTATTTTCATTTTGAAAAAACTGAAAGGTGTGTTTGGTGCGGTTTGGTTTAAGAGGCCTCCCTTCAGTCCAAAAAATAATGGAATGTTAAAAAAAAAAAAAATCCAGCCCAGTCCAAACAGAGGTCAAACTCAAATGCCAGCTGCCAAACAGTGCCCTGAGAAAAAGGCGGGTAAGGGTGAGCGGTGGGGTTGAGAGATGAGATGAGATGGGGTTAATGCCATTTATCGTCCCTCTACTATCAAAAATAGTGCAATCTAAGCCTTCTCTTATGGATTGGCTAAGTATCGTCCCTCTACTATTAATTAACTCCACTTATCACTCCTCTATAATGCAAAACCATGCTAATATCGTCTTTCCGTCAAATGTAAGCTAACGGTAATGTTTATTGACCGTCAAATGCAAACGAAAAACAATTTTATTCAAGGATACTTTTTTGGTCTATATGGAAGTGAAAAAAGCAGCAGATAAATTAAATATCGCTGCAATAAGATGCTTTATGTATGCGTTAAAATAATTCCATAAAAAGATCTATTATATAAATCATAAATAAAAAAAAATACTATTCCTAACTATTTGATTTTTTTTTGTCGTTTTAATTTTTTTTTTTTATTGTGGTTTGTTCTTCTTCATTCCTTAACCTATTTTATTTACATTTTATATGGACTCAAATGAATACATGATTCATTTTTTGAATCTAAGAAATTAAAAATTATCATTACATATTTAGATTGTTGATTATCACTAAAGATTATCTCATTGCACTAAATCTATGTAGTTGGTTTAAAGTCTACTTGGTCTAATAAGTTAACACTTTAGATAAGTAAATAATAATAATAATAATCCACTGGCAGTATTTAACTAATTTATAAATTTTGAAGGCACTTAGCTTTTGACCCAGTGATATCAGGTCACGTATAAGTGTATTCTTTCACTTTCAAGGTAATGGTTTGAATTTAATTTATTGTAAATTTGTTAAAAAAATTTATGAATTTTGAAGAAATTTTAACCATCTCCTTGTAGAGATTTTTTTTGTTAATTTGTGAACAAAAGTAACTTTTTCATAGAGAAAATATTAAATAGGAGAAAAAAAAAGAGGAGAAAAAAAAAATCCTTATGTCATGATTGTAGTGGAATTTCTAAAATTACAAAAAAAAAAAGAAGAGACATTTGGTTCCTGAAACAAAATAGGATGATAAAAAAAACTTAGCAAAACCACTTTATTCAAGTTCTTTCAAAAGATGATAACTTTAAGATTCTCTAAAACAAAAATTGCTAAATCGGCAGCATCGCAAGCAAGCAGCCACAATTATTTTGTTTTTTTTTTTTTTTTTTTT